CATTTGACCACATGATTGTACGAACAAGAAGGGACAGGCGGAATGTAGGGGGGGGTCAGCATTCCAATAGTAAATTTTTGGAACCTTATGGCTGGGATGGAAGCGAAGGAGGAGAAGCAGAAGGAGAAGGAGAAGGAGAAGGAGAAGCAGAAGGAGAAGCAGAAGGAGAAGCAGAAGGAGAAGCAGAAGGAGAAGCAGAAGGAGAAGCAGAAGGAGAAGCAGAAGGAGAAGCAGAAGGAGAAGCAGAAGGAGAAGCAGAAGGAGAAGCAGAAGAAGAAGCAGAAGGAGAAGCAGAAGGAGAAGCAGAAGGAGAAGCAGAAGGAGAAAGAGAAGGAGAAGGAGAAGGAGAAGGAGAAGCAGAAGGAGAAGCAGAAGGAGAAGCAGAAGAAGAAGCAGAAGGAGAAGCAGAAGGAGAAGCAGAAGGAGAAGCAGAAGCAGAAGGAGAAGGAGAAGGAGAAGGAGAAGGAGGACAACAAAATTGGAGTTGCGGAAAAAAAATCCACTATTGCCATGCCTGGTGCAGGTTTGTTATTGCTATTCTGGGGCTTGCAAAGGGGGTACCCTTTGTGGACCTGTTTTCTTGTTTTTTTAAATACGGGTTTTACAAGGAAATCAACTGTTTGGTAATTGGATCAGATTTCTGGAATCTAAGCTTTTGCTAATCAAAAAAGAAAAAGATTTGCTTTACTTGACTCTTTTGGCAATACTAAAAGTGAATGGAGCTAATTGACTTTTAGTATTGGAGAAAAATTGGAGTTGCGGAAAAATGTTTCTACTATTGACAAAATGTCACTATTGGCTAGACAACATTATACTTCATGTGGAACATGTATAATACTTGAGGCTTATCATGGCAATCCATGTATGCACGCGCTTACTCAGTGGGTTTCAACTGAAAAGTTCGTTTGTTTCTGGGGGGGTCTTGCGTCGAGATTAAGGTTTCTTCTGGTGCCTACGGGCGGACGCAAGGCACACAATATTAAAATGTAGCCATGCGCGAAAAACTTCACTGACTGGGGCTGTGCCAAAAGACAGTGGGTGTGTTTCGTGTCCGGACAAAGAGAGATTTGAATGCAAAAGGTTTGGAAAGACGGAATAGGTTGTGAAAACTTCAAAGGATGCCAAACGGAATAAGACCTGAAAATTATATAGCAATTGCTAAACTACCAACAATTTTTTACGTCAGGATCCCTGATTTAAACAAACCAGACTTGATTCTAACGTAGTATGTGTTGCCAAATCTTAAAATATGGATATTAGACAAGCATGCGTGCATTGCATCCACGCATTTGTCACCCAGATGTGTATCAAGCCGGCAACGTTCACATCAAACATTCGCGCGCCAACAATTTGCAGATTGTGAAAGACGCATTGACATGTGTTTGGTCAGTGCATGTAAATGTATTCTTGTCCGTTCATGAACAGCGCATTCACCTGACAAATTTGTTTCAAGAAAAATATTGAACCTCGTTTTGGTATTGTCCATGGGGACGTGCTTACCAAAGCATCATAACTGTCAACCCGAAAGTGAATGGTTTCGTATCGTTTCGCATCGCGGGGCCATGGGCGATCGAGACCATGAGTGGGATGAGGCGTGGTGGGCGGATTGAATCCCGATGCCGGGTTCTTCGGCAACAAACATTGTGTCAATGCCAGCAGATGATCTGCCTCTTTCGCCTTCCGAAAACAGTGCCACAGATAGACACGCTTCGAAAATTGCCCCGTGAATGCAGGCCGCGTGCATTGTTCGACTCCGGGGACGCCCCTTGGCTTGCAAAGATGTATAGTGACGGACAACCACTTAGAACATCACTTGGAAAACGCAATTCTCAATCTGCGCAACATTTTTCGCAGCGTGGGGCGTGGGTTCAGGAAAAAACACTTATAATTTATAACATCCAACAAAAAATATCAAAAAATCACGTTTGAAATATCACTTGTGCACATGGCGATGTTCTAAGTGCAGGTTTGCTCTATTACAAAGCATGGAAGATGCAAGTTTGCTATACCGTCCAAAACGCAGGTGGATAGAGAGTGCTTCCTGCAGAACAGAATGTGTGGGACATGTGTTGGACAAATCATGTTTTCAGCCGTGTCCCGGAAATCTCCTGGGATGTATGCGAAGGTGGGTGGTTGTTTAATTTCCAATTATTTCCCTCAAACGGGCAAACCGTGAGAACATCAGACCATTTTTTCCCCCATCAAAATGTATATTTTTTGTACTGATGTTCTAATTGTTGTATTCTTGATTTTCATGTTTTAAGCCTAAAACATCCCAGCCAGGATTTTTCGTGATGTTCTTAGTGTGCATTTTTTGATTTAGAACACGTTTGATGTTTTAGGTGTTTGTCCGTAAGTATATTTCCGGTCATTTTTTTCAATCCACGTAGCGTGAAGTGAACAAAAAACAAACATCCGGGATAGTCCGAACAAAAAAACAAAAGAAAACAATTTTGATGTCAAAATTGCCGGTCGTATGCAGCCAGGATGTTTTGCCACGGCTGCGGGATTTGGTGATGCGATGCCCGCCGCGAGCTGAGATCGAAGGGACTTTGACAACACCCTGAGTCTGTTTTTTTAGTAAATTTAGTAGTCGATGAATTTACGTAATTTTTTGGATTTACTAGCCAAAATTTACTCACGATTATAGTTTAAAAGTAAAGTAAATTAATTTGATGTTCAAAGTAAGTTTATTTAGTTTGGAAAGTAAATTGATTTAGTTTGTAAAGTAATTTCCCCCCCGCAAAAAAAACAATAAATTTTGATGTTTTTTTAATTCTATTTCATGGTTACTTGTGACTTGTGGACATGTGACCATGAAATTTTCATGAATGACATGTGTTTCATGTGGTGCATGTGTTACATTATTTGCATGTACATGGATGCAGTTGGCCACTTACCTGAGGCACTGTTTGCCACAGTTTTTGTTGTAGTTATTGGGGTGCTCAAAATTTTCTTCGCCTCTTCATCATCAGCAATCCCGGTGTGGATCCTGGACCTCTTCCCAAGAAATATGAACGGAAAATCATGGAGCTGTGGACTGGGGAGAGGAGTAACTGCCACTTTTATGGCTTTTGCTACAAAGACAGTCGACCCAGGGAGTTTCAGGTTTCTTGTCTGTGATTGGCTCACTGCATGTTTGTGGTTGACACATGTGGTTGATCAAGCAGAAGAGTGAATGTGACAAAGGATGCACATCATGAGGAGAATGAGATTACATGAGGCCCATGGCACTTACATGTGTTACATGTGGCAAACAGTATCCCTCCACAAACAAACATCTTGTGAGAACACTGTCGGTGGCTGTGTTGAATGCATCATCGTGACATGTCTCTCAAACTTTGAAAGGAAATCACTGAACATGAGGTCAAATTCTGAAGATTGTTTTCCTGAATTTTTGATGAGTTGCTGATGAAGTTTTGATGCAGTTTTGAAAACTGCATCAAAATGATGCAGTTTTGATGCAGTTTCACATGAAAAGTGATGCAGTTTTGTTAACTGCATCAGAACTGCATCATGTTTTTCTGTTGAAAATTTTAACATTTTTTTCATCACAAAAAATGAAAATTTGAAGACCAAATGATTGATTGGAAATGAACATCATAGTCACCAGTAAGTTGATTTCATGTCATCATTTCTCCCAAGTATCATCAGCACAAGTCTCATGTAATGCCACAAGTAAAAGCTCTAGTGCACTTAACAGCAAACAAGTCTCCAGTAAAAGTAAAAAGTGTTTGCCAGTAAAGTAATTGCTTTACATCCTCAAGTGATGCTTGAACCAATTCACCTTTTTCCACAGAATTCTATTGATTCCAAAGGTGAAACAGTTGCACCCACATGGTCTCACAAGTAACAAGTATTACTTGAAGTATGCCTGTAGTCACATATGACAAATGTTTTAATTATTTGGTTTCAGTAGTTGTGAAAATCATTGAAATGCTTTTACCGATATGACCAAATCTCCAGTCACAGTGTGAGAACACTTCCATTGAAAGTCTTGAAAGAACTACTGCACACAAAGGATTCATTTTTTTCTGTCATAAAATTGTTGTAGTTAAGTATTAAACAACAAAAAATGTCAAAAATGCAAAACATGACATGATGCAGTTTTGACGCAGTTTTGATGCAGTTTTGATGCTGTTTCATTATTTCACTCCAATTTAGTTTAGTTGTAAAAACGTGTCAAAACTAAACTAAATTTATCAACTAAAGTAAATTCGCAGAAAAACTAAATTTACTAAAAAAACAGACTCAGGGCACAATGGGGCAACTGATGTCGTAGGACAAAATGAGTTTATTTCACCATGGGACCAATGACTCATCATCATGTGACTCATCATGTTTAAGATATTTTACGATGATGAGTCACATGATGTCGCTTTGGAATGTCATGGATGCTCAGAACCCAGCACGCTTCTTGCGTGGCATCCATGCTAGGTTAGCATGCGCTAAACAAACCGCTCCGTGAATGTTTGCCGACGCATTTGTCATTTGGTCCGGTTATGTGTCACCAGTGTTATTATTTGGTTTCTTGATTTCACGGGTCACGGCCATGCAACACGCCCAATGGCCCAGGTGTGCTGTTCTCGAAGGGATTCGTTGGAGTGTTGTTTGCAAGGCATGCATCTTGTCGTGTGTACTTCGTGATGTAACTCCGAAAGGGTGTGTCTGACACTTGGCAACTCCAGAATTTGATCATTCATCATCGACGTGCTTGACAAATCTTGACGAACGAAAATTGTCCACCCTCATGGACAAGTTACATGGACAAATTGCACGGAAGGGTTGTGTAAACATGTTTAATTAGCTACAAAACGTTTCAATAGAAAATGCAAGGCGTAGCCAGTGGATTTGGGGACATTTTCTATAAGGCAAAATCATATAATTAAATATTTTGCTTTAGGGGTGTGAGTATACCAGATCGTACCTCGTGATTTTCATTGATCCCTGCGCAAAACGAAAGTAGCACATGATGAATGCCAGTTTTTCGACCGTTGATCATGTCGCCTGCGCAGGTCTACACTGACCGGTACCAAGGAGGGCACGGGCCTCAGATCATGTGATCAATAGTTCAGCTAGTTGCACGCAGGCGGAAGCAGAATCAGGTAGTTGCGGACTTTCGTTTGGTTCGCGCCGCAGTTGTGCAACCCGAGTTTTTGGCTTTGTCACGCTCCGATTTGTTGTCATTATAGCGGTACCGCTACGTAGCGGCTCAGGTGAGAAAAGTAATGCCAAATTGCCAGGGAATGTCGAAGTATAAGAACCCTAGAACGTGTTTGTGCACCATTAAGATTTGCATGCCGCGAGAAAACACACTCCCACTAAAGGTTCGGCCCATGTGTTCAGGCCAATCGGTGCCAGCACTTTGGATGTTTAGATCCCAGCTGATTTTGTTTGGCGGTGAGGATGGTGGTGATTCATGTTTTTCAATGTTCTGAATACCGTACTAAGGGCCGCTGGGCAAGACCATAGTACATTATCTGGTTTGGCGGTTTCATGCTTTCGTTCCAAAGTGCTTGAGATGCTGACGACGAAAATTGGTAGTTGATTCTAGGTATTGGCTGGTTGAAAGCGCCAACCGGCACCATAACTGAGGCAGCCAAGAGCAGCTTGGCAGACCTCCTGGTGTTTGATGACAGCGTGCAAGGACTGCTGCGCAGAGAGCAGTTCAAGTGCAGATCCAAGCTGCCAGTCTTGCCCAGCCTGCTGTGGTTGCGGCATGGCGTGTGCACAATGGGGGTTGGTGACACCGGGTTCCTTCATTGACTTCGGCATTTCGGTCTTTGGTTCTCGTAAAGTCCATGCGAACAGAAATCCACATGTACTATTTTTTGGGAGAGTTTTTTTTTGCGACAGTAACAGGGTTTTTTTCTAACAGTAGCAACCTTACGAGAAAGTCTGTGTTTTTTTTGCGACAGTCTCCACGGAGAAGAGTTTTTTTTTGCAACGGTTCAGCGAGGTTTTTTTGCGACGGTGTCCTGCGATGAGGGTTTTTTGCGACGGTTCAACGGTTTTTTTTGCGACAGTTCAACGTTTTTTTTTGCGACATTTCAGGAGGGTGAAGATGAGGAGTGGGTGGTATAGTGTGCACCGTAGTGGTAGTGGTGCAACATATGATCGGTAGTAGCCGGGTAAGGGTAGATAGTGGGTGGCGGAGGAGGAGGAGGTGGAGGAGGAGGACGAGGAGGAGTCATCGAGGCGGTTGGCGCGAGGACGAGGAACGAGTGAGAGCGACGAGGGCCGACGATGACGACGACGACGACGACTCCGCCGACGACGACGCCGACGACGACGACTCCGACGACGACGACGCCGACAACAACGACGCCGACGAGCTGCGCTTGTGTGCTTTGATGGTGCTTTTGTTGCCTCCTTTTGTGATATTGTGGGAGAGGTGGCGTTGCGCAGCTGCGCGTGGCGGTGCCTATAAACAAGTGGGAGGGGGGTGCAGGGGGGAGGGCGCAGCGTCTCCTTTCGCAGGGCGTTCCATATTTCCACGAACGAATGTTGATGTTGGTTGACGGCATTTGATGTTTATATAAAGCGTTGTAGAATCTAGCCGCGACAGTTCAGGAGGGTGACGAAGAGGAGTGGGTGGTAGTGTGCACCGTAGTGGTAGTGGTAGCAATGGCGCAACCTTGTCGGTAGTGGCTGTGGTATGGACCGTGGCCGTAGTGGGCGTAATGGTAACGGTAGCAAAGGTGCGTAGTGGTAGTGGTCGCAGAGGTGCAACATGATCGGTAGTAGCCGGGTAAGGGTAGATAGTGGGTGGCAGACAGTGAGTAGCATCACTGGCGCAGAATAGGGGGAGGGACGATGCCGCCAAGCTGAGGTTGTGTTCTTTGATGGTGCTCGCCTTGCCGTGGCAGAGAAGCTCAGTACCACCTCGAGTGGGAAGACAAGAGGCGCTCATAGACCTTGACTTGTTTGTGTGCTGTTGTGGAAGAGATGGTGTTGCGGATGTTGTGCACGAGGTGTGGAGTGTGGTGTTGCGCAGCAGCGCGTGGTGCTGCGTCTAAAACTAGTTGCGGCGGATCGAGATTGCAAAAAACGCCGCGCCTCCTTTCGCAGAGCCAGGTACTAGTTCTACCAGCTGGTAGTAGTAGTAGTAGTCGTCGTCGTCGTCGTCGTCGTCGTAGTAGTAGTAGTAGTAGTATAGTAATAATAGTAGTAGCATTATTATTCTTAGTAGTACTAGCCGTCGGTGTCGCAATGCCTGTCTCTCCGCTGCCCGTCGCGAAAAACACCACTTCCCATCGCAAAAAACCCTCACTATTGGTTCACCGTCGCAAAAAACATCCCTAGCCGTCGTAAAAAACCCCTCTGAACCGTCGCAATAAGCCCTCTGGAATTCCCCGTCGCAACAAAAACCCTCTAGCATTGCACCGTCGCAAAAAAACCCTGTTACGGTCGCAAAAAACCCGAAGCCCTCCTCGTGCAGCACCATCTCACTTTTTTTTTGGCCTTGTTGGCACGATGTTTTTGACAAACGCAGATCCAATCATCATCAAAGTCATCCTCATCGGGCCGTGTCTGCCATTGACATTGTTAATATGTTGCGCGTTACTTGCAGCTGTTTTTTTTGGGCTTGAGCTGAGAGTTAAAAGAACAAATGAGATGGAATTGTGACATGAATCATGATCAAACCAGGGCCACCAGGGTACATGTCGGGTCTGGCATTGGAAGGGATATGTCAAGGAACACAAGTGAAAGTGAAAGCAAATATGCACATAACCTGGAGCCTAGAGCAATTCCTCGACTTGGATGTGCAACACTCAATTGACTAGGTGGTGTAATGACCCAGGTCACGAATTGGGATACTGGGGATACCTCAGACTCAGATATACACAGGTAGATTTAGTTATAATTGGGTTATTTCACAGGGGGATGACTTCCTCACCCAACCTGATCCACCATTGTTCCCAGAGAAAATGGCAACTTATGACAATTTCCACGACAAGTGGCAACAACTATAGCAGCTCAACGGGCAACAAGGTGCATTCAATCAAATTAGAATTTTGCCTTGCAAACTATGCAGTTGATGGGTTTGATGATCGAAATGCCCTGCAGCAGGCCAAAAAAGTTTCCGAGTCATCTTCACAGAATTCCATGTCATCGCGCTCCTGACATTTGGCTTCAACAAACTCAGAACACGCGCGCCTTGGACCGCGCTGGCTGATGCGTTCTGATGCTGCAATGCGAATGCGCAGGTGCGATCTTTGAACACGCACCAGAGCATTTGAGTTTGGTATGACAACAGTGTACCGTCAAATTTGATGGTGAATCAGCATTTTCCCTGGTAAAATAGCAGATTGTTCCTTTTAATTATTCAATTTCAGACGCACCCATCACGCAACATATTAAAATCAATATCATATCCCCATAGTAATTAGATGTGTGATATCCCGAATCCCATTATATGCCCAGGATGGCTGGTTATATGCCCCCGTTCTAGGTTGGTTGAATGAAAATTACATAACCATATAATGGTGTTTTCCCCATGGCACATTGCAATTTATTGGGTCATTGGATTGGCTTCAGGGAAAACATTGGCCACCATCCCCCCTCTATTTTGAGAAACCGTGGTTCCGGCTGAGTTTTTTTCCCGCAACGAACTGATTGGTCAAATCCAGCGTGGCTGGCCGGGGCCAGGTGGTGGAGAAGTTTCACTTGCCTTCTGCTGGCGGCCACCGCAGCCATTGTTCAACAGGCAACGCAGCGGAGCCAGGGGTTGTCGCCGTTGGGAACCTGGTTTCGCCCGGCAAGTCTGGGAAGGGTTCATCAAACGGAATGCACCTGGAACATCATGGGCACATGTTTGTAAATGATATACTTTCGACGCACTGTCAAGGAAATGGTTGGTTCATTGGTTCTGTAGTGTTTTAACATATTGTTTTCAATCACGGTCCATTTCCATCCTTGCGCGGCTGGAAGAAGAGGAGTCAGCTGCCATTGGGGCGCTTTCAAGGTTTCACCATCGTGTTTCTATACCAGCAGGTGCCCAATCCTTAGCTAACTCCAAACACTGTTGGCTTTATGGCACCTGGTAGGTATATCTAGCCATTCAGGGAGGGAGTAAACCAAGTCATGGAGGGAGAGGCCGTGGCCCATCTTGTATCTCTGTCCGCCGCCTAGGCCTCGCCAGAGAATTTTCTGACCTCATGCGGCGTTGCTCCGAGGTGGGGGCCGCGGACCAAAGACATCAGCCCGACAAACATCCCAATGATCTGATCTCAGGTTGATGAGCTATTGCATTTTTTGTGGATCATCTAAGTTCATGGTGGTTGATGACATGATATGACATGTGATGATGTTGCATACACTTTCCGCAACATCCTCCTCCAAGTGCCCGATAGAACAGGGATCTAGTTCAATTGGCTGGCAAAAACAGCGTGGATCTTACATCGTGTTCATCAAGATGAGATCTATGATAACCCATGCAAAATTCAGAGGGTTCAACTCCCCTTAGATGTGGGATGGTATTAAGAATCGACCAAGAACTATGTTTCCCTGCCTTTTTGTGTTCTGCGACTGCGCCATGATCAGAGTTGTACCAGTATTGGGGGCGTGTCGTGCCACAATTGAGAGGGAGCTCAGAATAGCCCATTCATAAGGATTCCCTTTTTCAATGATTTGATAGCCTTCTAACAATACAGTATTGATAACCCACTGATACGGATTCCCCAGGTTGTGTTGGGATGACCAAAATCCATAATATCACACCCTCTGCCAATGTATATAGAAACGTTTACTATAGAAAAAAGATGCGCCAGCAGAGACCCCAGATAGCCGCAGCCAAGAAAACCGTGGGCTGCACTCCAAAGATGCAGCGCCCTGAAGCGGCACCCTGCAGCGCCACCCTGAAGCGGCACCAGCAACCAAGTTCCAAAGCGCAAACAGCACTCTGACAGCAGCACCCAGCCGCACTATCTCTTATATTTGAACTAAGAACCCCGATGGCTTCGCTATTTGGGGAAAACGTTTTAAATAGCTACTGTAGTGTATACATGGAAATTTTCCATGGCAACCGCTTACATTCCCACAGGGCATGCCATGCAACCTGGCCATAGCAGACACCACCAGGTGCATTGCGAGACGTGCTGCGCGTGCGAGTGCTCCGCCCATGCCAACTGTGGAGGAACTCGATGACATGTACCCAGCCGCTGGGGCCATGGCGGGTTTGGCGTATGTTCAAACATGTTGCCATTGTTTCCACAGGGCTGTTTTGAAACAATCGCAAGTTTGTTAAATACAGTGACTGGCATTCACTCTAAGCGAATTCCATTTCAATGGCTTTTGGTTCGGTTTCATCAGGTGCTTGGTGGTTTCCCGAATGACTTGCAGATTGTGGGGATGGGTTGAAGCCACCATTCTATATTATATATTTGATTATATAGTTATATATATGTGGTGATCGATCTAAAAGTCCTTGTAAGGAGTTTTAATTGCGAAAGCCGTGCATGTTATGTTGGAAACCCCCTTAAGTTTTTTTTCGAGTTCGCGAAAGTAACATGTTTTTTCGCGAAAGTTTCGCGAAAGTTGGATATATATTATAATCATTATGTAAACGGCTGCCACCCACTGTCGCCCGGGGTCCGGCAGGAGAAGGGCACTAGAGAATTTCGGTTTGGTGCTTGTGGACAATCACACCCTTCATAGGTAGCAGCTGAGCCCAAAGGCGAGGCTTCGCGACAGCCAAACGCCATGGTCCTGAAGCACATCCTTGCATGCCGCTGTCACTGCCTAATGATGCTTTTTGAAGTCCCAAGAAGCAAGCTCCAAATGCAGCAGCCAAGTTTCCAAAAGTGAGGCTTTGCGAGAGCCAAACACCAAGGCCCCTGGTGTTCGCTTTTCCTTCGATGCACCCCCTGCTCATGGCCGGGGTCTGTGAATAGGGATGTTTTCGCGAAAGTTCCGCGAAAGTTATGCGAAAGAGCGGGCGAAAGTCAAAGTGCATGTTGAAGGGGGTGGGCCAGTAAACCTTGCCAAAAAAACTTAGTCAGCAACAATCTGCACTGAGAAGGGATCCCGTGATGCTAGCTGCATGTTTAAAGGGCTCTCAAGAAGTGATCCGTGATTCTCTGGCGTAATTTGGCAGGTGGTGAAAGAATCTTCATAAGAGGTGTTGTTGGCCAACATGGGCCCCGCGACAGATAAACATGGAGTTCGCGAAAGTTTCGCGAAAGTAAAATTTTTATTCGCGAAGAATGGCCGTTCCCGGATAAAGGAATTTTGATCAAAACCCATATTGTATTGTATATATATATATATGTTTAATCAGTCAGTGTATGATAGTGTATGTTTATTCACCCAACAACATCCCTGACAATTTTTGCAAGAATATATCCAACATATTGTGGTAGCGGGCCCAAGGACCAAAGGCCATAAACAAGGCAACCGGTTGAGTCGCCGCCCTTGTAAGGGTGACAAACTTGAAATCGAGATTTTCGAGGCTAAGGGACACAATGCTGCCATGTGTGGGACTTGTCGAAAAATCTTTGCAACATGGACATTCATGTCGATTGGCAAGCGTGTGACTCAAGTTCAAAAAATTACAGTTCGCCTGCGGTGTGAAAGTATGTACAAAATCATTAATTAGGAATTTAACGGAATTTTTGATTTTCAAGTTTCCCATGCAAACATACCCCAGATCATCCATCAAGCATCAGGGCCCTGTGTTTTACTCGTCAAGAACGTTATCACACCCCCCCACCCCACCCTCCCGTGTTGACCATAAGAGAGCATGTGCAACATGTTAACTACGTAACGCATCTTGCAGGAGCCTTAAGACATCCAAACCCTAAATTCAATTCTTGAACCATCATTTTCGCAACCTCCATCTTTGAAATTTGCAACCGTTCCAGGGGATCGTGAATGGCACATCTCAAAATAAGCAACCCTTCCAAGGGCGGCGAATCAGCCGCATGCCATAAACAACTCTCCATTTAGGCCAGACAGTGAGCACAATTATATATAAGTATACCAAAACCATGCAATGACTATACCCAAAAAAACACAAAAAAGGTGCACGCTTTTGGTTTGACCAGTTTGACCACATTGACCTGATTGGTGGTTTTGAGGCGTTTCTATTGAGATCGTTTTCCCATGCATAAAAATGCGAAGATGATTGTTTAACAGCACAGCTGCCACAGAGTTTATAATTTTGGGACGGTGATTTTGAAATAAAGTACCCCTCGAATCAAATCACTATTCGTTCCGGGGCCCGCAACATAACATTTGTTAGTATTTGTTACGGGGCCCAAAAAATGATTTGATTTGATGTGTCCGTTATTCTAAAAAATCCTCATCCCGTTTCGACCTGCAATCGGGTACAACAAAGGATTATCCTGTTAATATGTTTACAATGCCACAGGTATTGGCAATAATGATTTGCGATTGTCCTTTAAGATCCTTTAATCATTTAGTAATTTCAAGGTACTTGCAGCATTTGCGGTGATCCACCTTTCTTTGGTTTGGAATAATCCTATCACAGTTATGTTTGATGGGTTTTGATTCAGTGTGCTTCTGCCCCTGAACGGTCCCAAGCAGCAAGGAACTTGGTCGGAGAGAAGTTGCTGTCTTGGCCAAGGGTGAAAATTGGGCCGTGGTTTACAATCCTTCTGGTGCTGTGGCGCATTGGCACAAAGAACTATACAGGGAAGAGAAGAAAGGCCAAACTTGAGAGCGCAATGGGGTGAAAGGTAATGAGCCGTTATGTGCTTCACTGTGACGAAGCAAGTGGGCTGGATGGTTTGAGTTTTGTACGTATGATTGTGGTTTCCCTTGGGGAAAAAGCAGCGCTGTGCCAGATGCCAAGGAAAAACAAGGTTGAAACTCTCAGCGGTAACTCGGTTCGGAAGTTTCTTCTCTTGAAAGCGTACTCATGGCAGTTGCAGTGGATCACATTTCCCAATGATACAGCCTTATTCAGCAGAAATCTTCCAAACAAATGCCCAAACATTTGGTTATTCACTAGACATCTCATGAATTCTTCAGTTTTCTCACCATTTTATGTTGGTTAATTCACCATTTCTGCTGGTTAAATCCGAAAACTCCAGCCCTTTTTTTGGGCTGAGAATTTCACCGCAGGCGGTACCCTGCTGGGCCGTGCCAAACGCACGCTGCGACGCCCGGTGCATTTGGTGGGTCGCTTGGATCGCTCGGTCAGCGGTCTTAGCCTGCTGGCCTTTGACCCTGAAACTGCTGAGGCCAGGGGCTGGTGTTGTGGATGGTGCTTGGGATAACCCCAAACTGCTGGATTAATCAATATTGGTTGAGTTTTCTTGCATTCATACTCGGAGCATGTCAAAACAGTAATGTTGGTGAATGGTGAAGTATAGGTGGTTACACTTCAAATTTTTGCACCATGATTGGGATTGCTGCGGAACATATTATTAATGCACAACAGTGGGGCTGCACATATCCACAACAGTGGAAGTATAGGGGGCTATATCTTCCCCAGATGCTGAAGAGTATCATAACTCATGAGTTTTGAATCCCATCGTTATAAGGGGTTGTTCATAGGCATATGGAAATTGTTCAAAAAAGGTTCAAAGATCGCAAGCATGGGTAAATGTCGGTCAGCAATGGGTTACCATGGGGTACCAAATAATGGAGGGCTGACACTAAACATTAACATGGGAATTGGTCAATACATTGGAGTGAATATAATATTATGCACTCCGGATGGTGTATCCCGAAAAAAACCCAACAGATGAATGGCTTATGATGGGAGCCCACACTGAACATGACATGGTCGTTTTGTAATCTTGTGAGCCCATTGGTGCTTCAGTTTTGAGCCATAGCTACCTTAGCCCCCGATACGCTCCACCCCTAGAGGCCCTTGAGACTGTAAACTTATAGGAAAATCATGTTATGCAAAAGTTCACCCAAATTCAGAGTACCATTCGTTTTGAAATTCTTAGAAAACATTGATTGATGAATCAGAGGGTCCAATTCCCCAAAAGCGGTAATTTGTTGAAGTAGAATGGCCCCCTCCAAATTGAAGTGCTCAGGAGGTTATTGTTTATCCGAGGTTGACATTAGCGAAGTTCAACAGGATGTTGGTAGCCAATAGCACCCAATCCACTTGCAAGGCTGGCAAGTTGGATATGCGTGAAGACACGCCGTGCCACCCAGAAGCTGGAATTGGGCACTGGATCTCTATAATGATCCATTGTCCACACACACACACATATATATACTATATACACATTAATTTTGCTTATATATATATACTTGAATATAGCTATATTTTTCAAACTGTATCTATACTATCTATATATCCATGTTTTGTAATTTGAATTGATTTATGGTTGACAACACCAGTAACATCACGTCTGCCAGCATTCCCCCGAGTTTTCCAGGCCCTGCAGTCGGTGAACGCTTCAAAGGTGTACTATGCGCTTTTCGGCTTCCGAGCGGTGAGTGAAGACGGAGGAGACCTTTAAGGTCCAGGGGTGGTGAAAGATAAGCAATATCGCACACACACACACACACGCGCATGCACAAATACACACACACATATATATATATTATACATAGTACAATACATATTTGTATATCATGTATGGCTAGACTCCTGGAGATGGCGATGGAGAGATATTATATATTTATAAAATTCAATGATGCTATGTATATATATTATTATATGATATGGTCATTTGCTTTTTTTTTCACTTTATGTTTTTTTTTGGCAGCCTGTGATGGCATACTCGACATATGAAAGGGTTTCATGACGGCAAATGACTGCTTATTCTTATTTCCATTTTTTGGAATCGAGCCAAGACTAAGTGTTATGATGTGATATGATGTGAACTCATGCATGGATCGTCGTGTCTTGACATGTGAAACTGCGATGTAATTTCACAGTTTGCTACGGAAAACCACCCATGTGTTTGTTTTTAGGTAAATCATCGAACGAACAGGGCATAACTGGGCCGTGGTGTCCAGCGAGGTCCCAGGTCGCGATGGATTTTTTCCCACCATCCCTGCGATGGGCCAAGGCTTTGCCGCAACAGTGGGGAAACTTTTCTTGATCGAGGCGGGCCTGTGCAGTGGGACATATTGATACATGTGGAGAGTGGGAAGAGTTTATGAAGATCTATAGAAAACTTTGGCCCTTCAAAGCCGCCAAGCCTAAAGCTCTTGATTGGTGGAACCTATCAATGACAGATCTCATGCAAGCCGTATCCGGGACTAATAACATTTTTTGATTCACGGATTAATGTATTTATATATATATATGTATATATTTTTTCTATGACATGCAAGTGTCTCACCCATGTTCAGGTATTGAACTATGATCGACGCCTTACGCCTTCACACCCGGACCCAGTTGAACCAGGTAAAAAAGCATTCAGAAATCTGAAAAGCCTGTTCCAGGCCGCAATCGTCCACAAAGAGGATCACTTCCAGCTGCAATGGGCAATGAAGGTGTTGCATAACAAAAGCGATGAAGAATTGGCAGCCCTTGCCTTTCGAGTATCTGGATGTCAGTTTGGAATAATCCATGTAATTACTGCGTTGCAAATCTTCCACAGAGAAAGTGTTAAAGATAGGAACATCCAAATACCCTGCAGTCTTTGGCCGTGCTACCAGAGTGAAAGAAGAAAAAGAGAATTGGCTCCCATGCAGTTTGAGAAAATCGAAGCAATCCGCATTTATCAAAGCCCATTGACATCAATGGCGATAGAACAAGGTCTGCATGTAGAAATGCGACTCAAGTATGGAAATGTTTGCGGACCTGAAGTGAGCACCAATGAACTTACACAAGCAAGCATCTGCAAGCAATCTTGTATCTGTTGTGCAAACTAGAACAGCTGACAATCTCTCAATTAGAGGATGATAAAAAAAGTAACAAGTTTACGTAAAGGAGACAGAACCAGGTAATTTTGTGCAGAGTGAACTGACAAGGTCCTTACAACAGGATCTCAGTATGCACCCTAGAATAACGCAACGAAGTGAGAACAAAAATTCAAAAAGGGCCAACAATAAAAAAAACGGTGTTTGTTGGATCAATGAAAATCTCAATTTTAGTACAAGTTTAGGTTGCAAATCACATAACACAGTACCATTGGAAAGCAACGTGATTAAATCTCAATTCAGATAGTACTTCAAAGAACTGTGGGAGCTTGCGCTTTTAAACAGATAGTATTTCGCAAATGTTATCCACAGATAGTACTCAAATTGCGCTTTCAAACTACTTCCACAAGTACTTCAGACAATAGATAGTACTTCAAAGAACCTTCAGCAGTCTGCTCATCCAGCACCTACATTTATATTTGTTCTGTTTCGTTCCATTGCGGCTGTGAAATTCCGAATGGTACCGTTGAAGTTGGGGAATAAAGCATGTTCCATCTTTAAGACCTTAAGAACCGGCTGGCTTCAATTGACGTTCATTTTCTTTCATTTTCTGATATTTTGTTGATAGTTTGTAGCTCAGCTCCCAACCTGTTCTCATCCGTGTTTCCACGGCCAGCCGCTTGGCAGGCCGTTTTGCCGTCACCCGGCCGCTGCTTGACAAAAAACCCTTTGGGAAGAAACACGGCAACATCATGATCCTTGGACGAGTTGGGTTTTAATTGGGCTAAACTATAGCGTATACCACTATAGCGATTAGGGTTTGAACGGCATCGCCAAACCACCAAGTCTAGAAATGGACCCAACTCTGAATCTCCGGAAAGTGGAGTGATTCAAATGCATCCCAGAATCACGACTTTGACGGAGGGGTTCACCTTGGAAGACTTTCCAAGATGAATAAAGCAATCATATTTGCTGGGGGAACATCATGCAAGTTGTCCGGGCCCTGCCGCACCCCCATCATTATACCACCATTCCCCTTCTTTTTGTTTCATCTAAAAACATTTCAACACACGCATGCCCAATCCCAGAAGCATAGCTTATCTTCCAAGCAAGGCCATGTTTCTCCCCAACCCATTCTTCCATACGGTCCCTTGCTCCAAAACCGGCCTCCGTGGACTCAGGAAAGAGAGCTATACCGATGTTGAGGTGCTTGTCGGGGGCCTCTCGGAGCAGATGAGAGGTACAGCAAAAGGAAGGGAAACACTAGGAACAATGGAATCTGGATGGATCTCTTTAAATCTAGTTATCTAGCTTTTTTGTTGGTAAATCCCAGAAATAAATCCGGGAATGGGGATTTTGCCCAGTAAGAATTAGAATTTATGATAGGGGGTTTCCCTCGGGGGACATTTGAGAGTTTGCTGTAATTCATGCGTTTTACGGCCGCTGCTTCCTATGGCCGCAGCTGATGATGATACAGGCCAGTTAGGAAGAAACAGTTAGCAGGTGATATCATATGATACCCTCTGGTAATTAAACAGTTTCTTTTGAGAAACGGCCAATTTATAGTGGATTATCTAATTGTCAATCATGGTGATTCTCCAGAGCTAAGTTAGTGTACCAGAGTGTGTACCCAATAATATATCCTCATCGGCGAATTTTCATTGGTGGGTTTGCGTAGGTTTACCTCAAGAAAAAATATGCATGTTACCCCTAACCAAAAACTGGTGAAGGGTGCAGTACTTTGGAAGGATTTTTTTTGCACTTCTGATGGGATAGTTATTGGGAATTTAACCACAGCTATTGGGGATATAATGGGTATATGCAGGCTATATTATTGGATATGTAACTTTGCCGGACATGATTTTATCTGGTGCAAAATGCTTCAGATTATAGTCATGCAAATTCCTTCGTGGGTCGCTCGCGCTCATGGACCAAGCAAGCATTGGATAATGTCAACTAGGTGGTGATATGACGGGAGGACAACCAACGGAAATGATGCGGTGAAAGAACGCAAGTGGTGTGAACATCTAGTTCGTTGTTTCGGCCGAACATGTTTCAATAACCTAACATCAATATTGAGAGACAAGGTTGGAAGAAGTAATTAATCAGTTAGTAACCATGGATAGCAGGTCCCTTAAGTGGGAGCATCCCATTTGCCATTGGGGAAGCGGCAAAGCCCTATGATTGTGCCATGCTTAAATATTATAGATAGGCAATCACAGACCAATGAAGCGGGATGATCCTGCCTCCCTGGAGAGAGCCTCTTCATTTCGTGTTGGCATTTTGAGGGTTCTCTTGGGGATGGGGTTATGAACCACCCCCAAAATGGGTTTTGATATGTTTTGATCGGATTGTCGCCCTTAAAAGTTCAAATCATCTCACTTTCAAAAGCTTTATTTATTCTAGCTTGATTGATTGGTTCAACATGTTGGAAATGTTATTAGTTGGTTGGGAAACCATCACCCCGCAGCCCCACAGCCCCATCACCAGCTGAGGAAAGGATCCCAACTGCTGCCTGGTCCGTGCCGAGCCCAAGACCGGCCGGTACCATCAGATTCGACGACACTTGCGAGACTTGCTTCGGATCTTAAATAAAGCGGCCTTTTTCGGTTTGTTTGAAAAATGGCGTGTACCTCTAAAGTGACAGTTTTAACATTTCAAGGGGAAAATGATGATAAACGGTCAAGAGCTTGGAGCACCCAAGATGTTTCTGGAGTTGTTGGGATCCGTTCAAGTTCTAAATGGACCTTGGGAGCAGAACTCAAGGTCATGTATTTTCCATACTTTTCCGCACCGTTTGAATGCATTTCAATATCTTAGCTTGAGTTGTTGCTATGATACTAACCCCACTTGAGAGATGTTTGGATCCATTTGGAACATGGGTCCAAACTATTGAGCCCCTGACATGCCATGGATCATTACTTGATGATATTAGGATCCCTTTGCTTTCAGGAATGGACCCATTTTGGAAGAAACCAGTTTCAGCTTGACCAAAGCCGTAGCTTGTGTGATCGCGCAATCCCTGAAAAATCGATGTGCTTCTCTTCGGTTAAACATATTAAAGCCATTTCCATCCATTTCAATCCCAATTTATTGCCATGTATCTCCCCGTTTATCAAATTATCATGTGCACAGTTCGTCCGGGACCTGAGCGGATCATGAATGATCTGGCCATGAGGAAACATCACCTTGCCAATTCTCGGAGATACGTGACTCGCCACCTGCTGTTGTGCTGGACTTGCTGAAACCTGGAACACCATGGGACACCTGGGACTGAACATGCAACCCTTGTATCTAAAAAGCACAGGGTGTTTGAGCAAAGGTGGTTTGTTGGAGATTGTTTAACAATGTTTAACACCATTCATTTTGCTTTCAGTTTGCTTTCAAGGAGTATGCCGTCAGGGTGCTGCAGGTATTGCAAGAAGCGAACGCGGGAGTACTTTGAGTCCTTTGGTATCCAGCTCCCACGGCGGGTCATGCTCCATTTGCACCTTGGTCAGCCTTCAGCCTGAATGACGAAGCTGTTTTTGTTTCAATTGGGGTTTGTGGTAATTTTCTCCACAAAGTTGCGCGCATCATGGAAAGAAGTGCCATTTGAAGTGGCTGAAACTGAAAACTCATGCTATTTTCTTGCAGAAGATTGATCTAAAGATGTGCATGTGCTATCATTTGCTTAAGGTATAGTATTCGAGTGCCTGCAACCGAGAAGACACCGGAAATCTATGTGACTTGCCCGTTGCCGCCCAACTTCCAGCACTTCATCCGCCACTCGGCAATATCTAGGGCAGAGGCAAATCTATGTCTTCCTGATGACGTTGTTTGAATAATTTTGAATATTCCCGGCTGTTGGACATTTCCTCTTCCTCCAACGCGCACTTGAGAGGGCCATCATTTTCTTGCATTATCCTTTTCTCGACCGGTCTGAACCCACTTTACTTGGCAGAAAGTACCAGAGAACCGATTTTATATGTCTGGAGATGCTCCCGAACACTCTGATTTGAACATCCTTTGTATGACTCCCCGGAGCAAGAGGTGCCATTCGGAAAATCGAAGTAAGTGGCTCCCAAAGGCTCAACCCCCTTGTGGTTTTCGCGCTCAGGTGACTCGTTGGAACCTCAGAATCAGGGAAGCACATCATTTTGAACATGTCCATCCATTTACAAGAACAACATGAATCTACATGTTACTATGCATGATGACCATTTTGTCTCCACATATCTGCTTGACCAGTTTTGAGCATAAATCAGTATTGCAAATGTGGAGACGATGTCGCTTGCTTGATCCATGTGGATGTTTAGGCTCTTTTTCTCAGTGCTACGCCATGGCTTGCCCTTGAGTATGCCAGAAATTTGAGAACCATTGCAATATAATGCAATCATCAAAAGTGTTGATCCATGATGATCCCCTTTCAGTCGCCATGTGAGATGAATCTTGAATCATGGCAGTCCGCGACGGAGGTTTCCAAGTTGGGCTTCGCAGGTGCTGGCCGCATGTTGTAGACATCTTCATCCAGTTTGCATGTATGCTGCGTGCTTCAATAAAACCGTTCTTTTCAAGGGTTCCTTTGTTGATGTTCATCTAATATGGTATACAATGGTAAACCCAATTAATTATAAACCATTCCCAATGGAGCTTTGTTAATGTTGGTAAAGCAACAATAAACCAACCACATTTTGATGGGTTATAGCACCCATCTATGGTAAAATGGGGCATGGTTTACTATAGCTATACTATAGCTTCACTAGCGTGATTGGGTTTACCTCACTGTCCAAGACTCTTTTGCGTTTTCTTCCCACCTGGCGTAGCAGCAAATTTACCGCACTCGCGGCTCAAGTCGGGCGTAAAAAATACGCCCACGGGCAGCCGAAAAATCACGCGACGCGACGCGATGACGAGCCGAGACAAGGACACTGGGAAAGTCTGTGGTATACGGTGAATGGTAGGACCTAGCAGGTAGGTGAAAGTAGGTGAATGGTAGGCGAGTGGTAGGTATAGGTGAATGGCACAAACAAATTGGGAATGGTGATATTTTCGGCCGGGTATCGAAGTTTTTATCCATGATGAAGATTCTTGTCAGTGAAATCCAAGTGTTTGTTTGTTGGTCAACTCCCAGTTCTTACTGGCTAATATTGCTAGTTTCGCGTTTCAATCCCTGATTTTTGATTGCTTCAATATTCATTCTTGGCAATGAATTTCCCAACTTTTTGGTTGTTTCCATGTAATCACATATCCCCAGCATTGATGGCCCGTCAGAATTTCATTGTCACATCATAGCCGTCATAGCCCCTCTCTTTTTAATAGTTCAATTTCCGGTCCGTCAATTCCAATCATCCTCACGTGGTTGCAGCTTAAGTTCTCATGTTTTGGCGGACCAGGCTCCAATTTGTATTGGTCAAATCCGCATTTTCTGAATGACATCCTTGTGTTTTTTGGCGAACTCCTCGGGTTTTTTGGGTGAAATTCCCATAGTTCGGAGCGGCTCCCCAGCTCGCCACTGACCGCCGAGGACAGTTTCTTCCTGAGCGCCTTGGGTCGGCAGGCCCAGAGCCAGCGGCTCTCGGCGGCGGAGCACTCCATCAGCTGCGTCTCACGCGATGCGCGGCAGAACGTCTTCATCACGGAGCGGCACATCCGGCCCAACCGCCTGGGACGGGAATCCCCCAAGGTGCTGAAGCGATGGTCAGTGGGGAATGATGGGAGTAATCCCTTCCTCCTAATACTAAACCCCCCCCCCTAATACAAAACACGGCAAGTAGTTTTTAGTATTAGGGGGGTATTTATTATTAGGGAACCAAAATATTGCCAAAAATGGCAGTTCGAAGCTTACCCCTAATACTAAATTAAAACCCTTAATACTAAAAACCATTTTTTCCGATCTCAAAATCAATTAAATTTCCTTATATAACGCAATTAAAATATTGCCAAAAATGGCAGTTCGAAGCTTACCCCTAATACTAAATTAAACCCTTAATACTAAAAACTATTTTTTCCGATCTCAAAATCAATTAAATTTCCTTATATAACGCAATTAAAATATTGCCAAAAATGGCAGTTCGAAGCTTACCCCTAATACTAAATTAAAACCCTTAATACTAAAAACTATTTTTTCCGATCTCAAAATCAATTAAATTTCCTTATATAACGCAATTAAAATATTGCCAAAAATGGCAGTTCGAAGCTTACCCCTAATTGCTAGAGTAGCCAGGCAGCTTGGAGTGAGGGATTGGGACTAGGCCCCCCTAATACTAAACACCCCGGGGTGAACTAGTTTTTAGTATTAGGGGGGAGAACCCACAAATGGTAGGTTGATTTTTAAATTGTTTTTTAAAGGGGATCAATTAAAAGTCAAATTGGCCAAACTGAAATTTTCGGAAATTTGAGATGTATGCCTGTTTTTAGTATTAGGGGGACGTTTAGTATTAGGAGGAAGGGATTATTGGAACTGATGATGGTGAGGGTTTAGGGAAAATTGGTGATTATATTTACTGTAAGGTATTTAAAGGAAGATGTGCAATGTCACCGATATGCTTAGGTGTTAGGAGAAGTGATCTTGGGAGATACAGTTCAAAGTTCTAATGAAGCATTTGCACGAAGTTCGTTTGAGCATTTGGAGGATGGCTGTTGTGACCTTACCATCGCCTGTGATGATGCCAAGTAGGGAGTAGGGAGTGTAAAATGGTAGGCCGTAACACTTTGCACAGGGAGATCTATATCACATTTCAATGTCCCTGCCTTTCGTTGATTTTAGATGTGAGCTGCACAGTTGCTATGACCGGCATTGGCTGCATCTGCCAGTCAACATGCTTCTTCCGCTTGCAGCCACTGTTAGAAGCTGGGGGCACCGCCTTTCAGCAACACCCCCCAACGTGTCCCATGAATGGTTTCTATTTTCTACTACTATAAATTGGTTTCATGGGTAGTTTCAAGTTAGGATTAATAGCCCCCACGGAAGGTAGGTACCTAGGGAGAAGGCCCTGCTAAGGTTCAACCCTTAATAATAATCGACCTCGCAAGTTGAAGTCATAAGAGATCAACTTCGAATTGGTATCAATCTACTTTTCATGGATTTTCCTTTTAAACCTAGAAGCAATCTCAAGATTAAAAGGTTTTCAAATTGATATCAATCTATTTTCATTGATGTTCCTTTAAACCAAAAAGATATCTAAAGGGGCCAAGGAGGTTGATTATTTAGGGGAAACCCTGCCTATCATGTTTCGGAGCTTCTCACGGTGACGGTTTTTGAATGTAATTTAATAAAGAAATTGACCATTTGGGAGATCGTTTTTCCTGGATTTTTTTTTTTGCCAAGAATTTGGCTTGAACCAAGACTGCAAGACTGAGCCTGTGATTGCAAAGTCACAAGTCTGTGCTTGCAAAGTCACAAGTCTGTGGCTGCAAAGTCACAAGCTTGCGACTGCAACGTTGCAAAAAAGGCTCGTGCCAATGCAGGAAAGTATAATTACTCAACTCGTATGATTGTAGTGTGTGCTGAGCCAACAGAACCTTATGGGGGAATCTCTGTCAGAGGTTTGTCAGTGTCATGGTCTGTGTGAGACTTGAAAGGAGCAGTGTTCAAAGCATGTGACGCCATATGACAAAACCAAAAAAAGGATTTCCTGTGTGGTGGTTGATCAATCGGGTGATTCCCCCGCTTTTTTTTACTCTGGGGAACCAACCCACAGTAGTATTAAATCCCAAGCTCCAGGTGAACAGCATCCAGATTCC